AAATAAAAAAAAAAATAAAAAAATTAGATTAATACATAAACTATAGATAGCATGTTAAGGATCTGAACGATAGAAAAGATAATTTAAAGAAACAGATAGATAATTTGCATAAGAAAATGGCAGGCAGAAATAATAATCTTAAGATAGAATTGACTAAAGGAGCCAGGAGCCTACAAGAAAGATATTTAGGGGATTCAAAAGTTGATTGAAGATAAAGAGCATACTTTAAATAGAATACTAGATAGATTATCCTTAAATTATTAAAGCAGAGTATTTTTTTCACTTATCCTACGGTAATAGTGCAAATGTTAGTGATATGAAAAGAAGTGATGTACAGATGAAGGCGTATCAAGTATACAACAAAATTTACACTATTAGATTTCATCCCGCAAAGCAAAGTGATACTAAATTTTGCGAATTCCTCGATGGACTAAGATGGATTTTCAATGGATTTTGATAGATTTCGAACGTGCCAGTAAAACTCAGAGTTTTCTTGAAGATGATAAAAGAGATGGCTTTTACCATAAAATTGTCAATAAAGTACTTGATGTGAAAATTGCAGATTCTAATAGACTGTTTAAAAGCGAGAATGGCTTGTCCTATAAATATTTAAGTCAAGTATAAAGAAGGTTAAAGTACTATAGAATTGCTTAGATCTAATGCATCAAGTAGTATGTTTGTTGTTGGACCTGAAACTTTGCTCTCTACGCACACGGAGGGAACCAAAAATTTATGAAAGAAAATTGGTTAAATGCGCGAATAAAAGTTCCTCCGTGAACTTGAGAGTGGAGGGAGAAAGGTGGGTTTCGGGTAGTAATAACAAAAACAAAATGGTCCTAGATAGAGTGATATGGGCCAATATGCTCGCTGGAAACTTGATTTCGCTTCGTCTGCTTGTTACTAAATGCATTTGTATCTATTTAGATAACCTTAAGATAGATATATTTGATCCACGCTCTAACGAGACGTTAATTTCCAATGCCTACAGAGTCTTCATAGGATAGTGGAACTAGTGCAATAGGGTCAGAGTACAAGCAACAACCAGAAGCGTAAAGAAATTATAGATTGCCTAATGATAGAATGTGCCTCTGCGGCAATGGCTGAGAAGGTTCAGGAAGTCAGTACCAATTATAGTAAGAGCTGACCTATAATCTCAAACAATGGATCTGAAAACGATTGTTTGTATACCGCTCAACAAAATGAGTTTGAGAAAACCATTAAAGATATAAAAATTAATGAAAGTAAAAAACTAATGATCGGTGACATTTCAGAGGCTTAAATTCCCTTTACATAAAGGTATAAAATATTTAAAAGAAGTAGCAGAGCCAAGCTCTGAAACGCAAGATTCGGGCATTTATCGTTGGAATATCTTAAGGATTGCAAAGAAAGTTTTTGGACAATAAAGATTTGAATAAGTCTGTGTTCGATCACTTCATTGCATTGTGCAAGGTGTATCATATTGCTCAAATTTAAAGATTGCCTTTGAACACTAGAAGAGAGAGGGAATCGAAGCAACTTATCCTAAAAGATACAAATTCATGATAGTATACACAGACGACTACTTAGTATTGACGATGCATACCCTGTGAAAGTAAAAAGTAAACTGGTCTGTCCAGACAATCTTCAATACAATGGCGTTTCAGGACTAATCAATCGCACATTGCAGGACAAAGTATGAACCTACATATATGACTCAAGGTTTAGGGAGAACATGTTGGATCTAACCTTAGGTGCTGCAGTATATACATATAATCACACACCACACCTGTCCAACAAAATAACAGCTGCCTTAGGAAATTTTACCCCCAATTTAAAGATAAAAATAAATCAAATAAGATTTGGTCGTGTGACCTTTATTAAGATACAAACGAACACTGGAACCAAATACAGCACACAAGGTATACGAGTAGTACTGGTTGGTTATACTACTACCAGCTACATTTTTCTAAGACCAGAGGATGCAAATTTTATGAGGTTCTGGGTGTAAGATTTCATGAAAGACTTGTATTTAGAAATGTCTGGGGAAATGATAAAATAGCAAACTGAAATAATTATAAGACAGATATTAAATAAGATGAATGGTTCATTAAGCTTAGTAAAGATAGTCTTGAAGTATTATTAGAAACGGAGTAGAGTAGAGTAGAGTAGAGTAGTTTATTATTAGGCTAAGGACCTGGGGTCCTTAATAGCCTAGGCAGTTTTACATGGCTGCGACAAGCAGCCTACAATCACAAGTAGCTCGCAGGCTAACAGATATCACTTGCTAACAAGTAGATAAAATAAAATAGATAAATAAAATAATCTTATAAGTGACTAATGTTCGCTATTGAAAGATTGAAACAAGTTAAATACTACAGCTAGGATAGGTCTACATTAATGACTAGGATTGACTAAAACGAGTTAGAAAAACCTTTCCTAGAAATTTAAGCGTAAGTCTTCTTTCTTGATAGCTTTTAGCAATTGGTTTCTACTCAAAGCCAAAGGGTCACCATCGCGCAGATCGACTGGTAGAGCATTCCACTCTCTGGCGGCTTCAGTCGTAAAGGAGTTCCTTTAAACGTCAAGCTCTGCATGTATTATAATTAGCTCTGCAACGTTCGATTGCCTCAGGCCCGAGGGTTTACTTTTAAAAGAAAAACTTTCATCTAAGTATGATGGAGTTCCTGTCTTCAGGATTCCTTCCAAGAGGCAGAGCATAATGTAGCATCTTCTACTGGAGTAAGAGAGAATACCGTATTTTTTGTATGCTGATGTGATGTGGTCTGATTTACGTAGATTCTCAACGAAGCGAAGTGCGGCGTTTAGGCATCTGCTCATTTTGGTTTCCATTTCGGCTGATAGACCATAAAATATAGATGCGCAGTAGTCTGTATGTGGAAATACAAGGGAGCGTACAAGTAATAGCCTCATGTCATTCGGTAAGCTGTCTTTAAAGCGTCTGAATCTGGCCAATGCAGAAAAGCATTTGCTTGATACCGAAGCGCATTGTGGTTTACAGGTCAATGAGCTGTCTAGAGTGACTCCAAGGAGCTTGATGGTATTACTGGTATCTACTGTGATACCATTGAACACAATATTCGGCAATGCACCATTTGCCTCTAATCTGCTATGCACTCCTCTGGTACCAAACCAAGTAGCACGGGTTTTTTTCTCGTTAGCTATGAGACCATTTATTTTTCCCCAATTCAAGATACTCTCCAGTACCATGTAAGCATGCTGCACAATCCTGGGATCTTCTTCAGTTTTTCCACTTATGTAAAAGCAAAAGTCGTCTGCGTATAGATGATAGTTAAGACCCTTACACACAGCTGAAAGGTCATTAATAAACATAGAGAATAACAAGGGACTCAACGAACTACCCTGAGGAACACCAGAGCTTCGAAATAGAGTCTGGGATATCTCCCCATCTGGCGCTCGCACTGTCTGAGACCTATCAGTTAGGTACGACCTTATCCAGGATGCAGCTGAATCCAAAAAGCCCACAGCTATTAGCTTGCAGACGAGTAAGTCGGTGTTAACTAGATCAAAAGCTCTTGACTGATCTATACTAATCATAAGCGTAATTTTCTTGTTCTCCATAGCGATCCTAATGTCATCTACTATACTGATCGTAGCAGTATGACAGCTGTGAAGTTTCCTATAGCTTGATTGAAACCGATCTAAAATGTTATTACTCTCAAAGTACTGGAGGATTTGACTCAGTGCAACAGCTTCATGAATCTTGGATGCAGTACACGATATGGTGATTGGTCTGAAATCTTTAACAGTAGTAGCCTTATTTTTCTTGGGTATAGGTATGACGATGGCGTGCTTTTACATACTAGGAAAAACTCCTGATTGGAATGAGGCATCGAATAAATTTGTCAAGATTGGAATAATGGCAGGTAGACACAGCTTGAGAAATTGCAAGTTCAACCCATCCGGTCCACATGCATTGGAGCGTGCAGAACTGAAAGCTTTGATGATGTTAATTGACTCAACGTGTCTAAAGTAGAAACGATTATCTGGAGAGATCATTGGGATAAGAGGCAGTGGTACTGGCTCAGGAAATTCGGGATCGATGAAGTGCTTATTGAGTTCAGTAGTCGACACAGGAAGTTGAACGATATTATCATCAGGTCCTATAACTCCCAAAGACCTAACAACGTTCCATGTGTCAGCAGTGGATCTACACTTAAGAAATTCACGACGATGGTGCTCGTGCATAGCATTTTTCATATCAACTTTCACTTTATTGCGACACTGCTTATATTTACTGTGGAGAACCTCAGTTCTTTTGCGTTTATAGTTTCGCCAAGCCTGATTACGATCTTTGATGAGTCGTTTGATGGAATCATTGAGCCATAGAGCAGGTCTGTTTCTGATCTTAACTATCCAAAGGGGTGCATGCTGATCCAGTACTTCAGTTAACGCGTGCGTTAGAAGGTTGACTTTTTCGTCTACATTACAAGCATCATCAAAGAATTTCCAGTTCATTCCATTCAAGTCATTCAACACAGCATCAGCACTAAGATATCGATACGTTCGGCAGAGCTTATTTTTTGTGACTTTTTATGGAGACGGGATATTAAACTCAACCATAATAACGTTATGCCCAGAAATCCATGGAAGACTGATTTGGTTAAACGTATTTACAAGATGAGCATCACTCAAGCAAATGTAGTCAATTGTGGTATCAGATGTGGCAGTATGATGAGTAGGACGAAAAGGGATGCGCTCCAAGCCCAAAGATGTTAATGACTGCTTAAGAATACTGGCGTTGGTGCCCGAAGAGTGCCAAGAGTGCCATTCAATATTGAAATCACTCATTAGTATCAACAGATCCAATGCACGGGTACTTTTGATAATAGCAGTCTCAACCTCAGCCCAGAAACCAGCCTTGGTTGGCTGTATACCACTGCACACAAAATAGCGTAGCCATCACTTTTGATTTTAACAAGCATAAACTCAGGATGCTTAGCATACACTTGAAGAATGTCCGACGCGTCGAGAATTTCGCTCTTAAGTGATTCCTGGATGTATAAGGCTATTCCACCACAACCCTTGCCAACTTGATCATGCCTCAGCAGTCGATACCCTGGAATACACACAGGGTGACTGGGTAACTCAGGTTTGAGGAAAGTCTTGCTAATACCGAGTATTAATATGTTGTGTTCCTTGATGAGCTGCTGAATGTCCTGAAAGTGAGCCGTGAGCGACTGTGCATTGATGTGTTCTAATATGAAGCTGCTTGAACGCACAATTAAAGAGTTACTCGCCATAATTGATTCAATGAGATTTTCGCTTTATACTAGCACATGGGACATTTAGCCTAATCAAATGCACAGTGCGAAGAGTTGGATGTCTTATTGTTTTTGCAATTTACACAACTTAAGGCTGTTCTCGAGGTACAATCTTTTGAGGGATGTAAGCCCGCATAGTAGCCACAAGCAGCTGCATCCTTGCACTTATAGGCAATGTGTCCGAGTTTGTGACATTTGTAGCACTGTAGGACGGATATATGGTCATTGAATCTGCATTGGATCCAATCCAGGCTTATCCTGTCACAAGAGAAGAGCTTTTTGTGACATGCAGGTGAAACTTTAACTACACACGACCTGTGCTTTTTGTTTTTTGCCAGGTACATATAAACTATCTTGACTTCATCCGACTTAAATTCATTCAAATTTTGTGCCATAAGGTATTTGTGGATTTCATCTTTAGTATATTCAACTGGTATACTATTAATAAGGATGCGTGGCAGAAATTTTGGCATAGTTTTGATCTCCAGATCCAAGTCCTTTAGCGCTGAGAAATTAGTAAGACCTTGTAATTCATTACCTTCAACAACAATAGAACTTTCTGCTGTGAGAGAGACACGCTCAACCCTAAGCCCGAGCTCAGCTGCACAGATGGTTTTTACAGCATTCTTAGTATGTTATGCCGTTGGAAACTCGTCTGAACGGTCAGCTGCAGGGCCTATCACAATTCGTGTTGAATTTTTTATGGGGAAAGATTTGCCGTGATCAAGTATTACTCGACTGTTCGCTCCCCTGCCCACTGCACTAGCATAAGTCTTTGAATTGCGTGTTTCAGCAGATACTGAATGTGTATCTCCACTCTGTTCCCGGCAAGTCTGCTTAATCTCATCAACGCATGACTTAACAATGGAGACTGTTGACTTAATAGCTGCTTGTATACTGACGCACATGCTACTTTAGTAAAAGCCCCACTGAAGCTGTTTATGGCAGCACGAAGCTCATTTTTATGAGTGGTATCTTTTTCATTAGACAGCCATGAGAGTAGAGCTTCCCGGTGGGCGTTAACTTCAGCCTGAAGTGTAGCGATATCGATAGCAGCCGATGCAGCCATGCTAGCCACCTACAGCATGATTATGCCAGCAGCCGGAAACGAAAAACAAGTTGGTAGCCCCTCCAGCCCAGCGCCTAGGTCCCCTCTTGATATTTGGAGGTTAGAACACGTTTATATCTCCAGTAGTCACTATCTGCAACCTTCCTCGGAGATAACACATTCACGAGGAGTTGCAATCAATACGCACGCAACAGACCTGTAACCAAAACGCCCGAAGGCACGGGGCAGCAGAACCAGCAGTTTTCTTACACAGCAATATAAAGAGCTGTTGAGCAACTTACCCGAGCCGAGAGCGGAGGGAGAACAAGGAGTCAAAATAAAATAAGGGCGACCGAGGAAGAATAAAGAGCTTGTTCAAGAAAACTTCAAATAAATCTACGAAAAATTGAAATCGATGCATAAAATCAAGTATGGAAAATTGTAGATAGACGAACTATGAATGTTGAAGGAAGCAAGCCAAACATCATAGATTCCAGACGAGTCCTAAATAAGAAGATAGATGAAGATAGGAACCACGACGTTTAAAGTGAGGTTGGTGATTCGTGAGTTTAAAGATAGGAATAAGTACAACTTGCAAGAGACTTATGCTCCTGTATCTGGGTTGGCTCTTGTGAGATCGATAATGTCAGCTTTTAATGAATTCAACTTAGAAACTTGTCTGCTGGATGTCAAGACAGCATTCATGAATGTTTCAATCAAGGAAGAAATAAATAAAGAGTTTCCTGAAGGTCTGCTTGATGAAGATTAACTTAAGAAAAATAAATTATGTAATCTAGAAAAAGCCCTTTATAGACTCAAGATCAGCTTGAAGAAATGGAACGAGTGTTTTCGTGTGGTGCTGCACTGAAACTAGTATCACAAACGCACACCAGTGAAACTTGCCTTTACGCATGGAAAGAAAAAGTTAGCCTTTTAATCTTGATTCCATATGAAGATGATATCATGATAGCAAGAAATTGGTAAGTAAACCAAAAGAAATTAAGATTGGTCTGCAGTCTGACTTTGAGATATCAGATCTTAGCAAGGTTGGCACTTTCCTAGTTATCACAGTAAAATGAGATAGAAAACAATTCAATTTCACTTACGTAAATACCATACTTCGACAAAGTTCTGGAGAGGTTTGGATTTACCGACTCAAAACCACAAAGAACACCAATGGTGACAATTTAAGCCCTGAATCGGCAAAGAAAAGACAGATAAGAATCGAAAAAAACTGGAGAACTGAACAAAACTAAAACTGAAGAAAATGTACCTCACAGAGAAGCAGTTGGAAGCCTGCTGTATCTGCCTAACACAGTCAGACCAGACATCTCGCACTCTGTGAATGTATTAAGCAGACACCAAATCTGCCCAACTGATGACTAGAGAATGGTAAAACGGGTCCTTCGATATCTGTACCACACCAGAACTCTGGGATTAACCTACAGAGGCCGGAAAAATAAGCTGAAAGTCTTTTCAGATTCAAGTTTGGCAGACTGTAAAGGCTCAATTACGACAGGTGGATACTTCATAAGATTGTATTGCGATACAGTTGCTTGGAAGACGAGAAAACAGAGTTACGTTGCAATCTCAACCTGCAAGGCAGAATACGTGGCGATGTGTGATGCAAAGCAGGAGCTGATAGGATTGGAACACTCAAGCAGCTTAATACTGTCATACATTCTGTTGAATGCGGACCTTTGGTGTGACAACAAAGCCACCGGAGCAAGTGCTAATATAGATGGTGGCAAAAGACTGAGACACATGACCGAGATCAATGCTCACTACGTTAAGGAATGTGTATCCAGAGGAAAAATAATCGTTAAATGAATTCCATTCAAGGAACAACTAGCAGACATTTTTACAAAACCCCTGCCATTTGAACTGCATGAAAGACTAACGAAAGACATTTTGAATGTTCATCAGTGTAAATTGCATGATAATTAAACTTGAACTTGAGGTAGTAAAATTGATAATAGATAGATAATGATAGTAGACATGCCGATTAATGAATCTCTCTGTGTATGTTTTAGCTCGTCATAACCAACCCCAATGAATGATCAAGAAGCCGACCTGTTCCACATCTTCAGCTGATTACTTATTCATCTAAATATGATTACTCAGTGTTAATAATCCAATATGTCTTTCCTTTTTTCATTTTATATTGTTTTGTTAAATTCAGATACGAACGGGAGGGAGTGTTGGATGTATATTTTGCGCTCGTAACTGAATTCTAACGAATGCGCAATAGCAAGACGACGAGACGCCGTGACGCTGCACTTCAGCGTCTAATACCTATAGTTTACTCACTCTCGCACGGTCAGTCAGTCTGTTGATACGCACTCCCTGCTTTTCGTATTTTCCTTTTGATTCGATCTTGCTTTATTTCAGTTCAGCTTACGATTGTATCCTTGATTGTAAAGACTAAAGATAGCATACACTGAAGATAATGAGAATAAATGTGTCCGTGTTTTATAATCAAATCGACAGTGTTGTACATTTTATTGCCCGATCACATACCCACACATCCATACTGCTAACAAAATTATATGTGACAATTTGTGTAATAGTACACGAGTGAAAATTACAAAATTGTTTGAATATAATGTTATAGTAGAAATAATAAATGGAGAAAAATTGGAAAAAAAGTTGTTATACCAAAAATAATTTTAAATACAGGTAACTTATTCATTGTTACCTTTTATACTAAACGGAAAGCAATTCACTTTAGTTCTAGCATCTGTCATGACAATTAATAAATCGCAAGGAAAAAGTTTTGACAATTTTAGTTTATAATTGAAGTCTTTATTTGATTACGGTCAATCGTATGTAGCGTTATTACGATGCGAAATTAAAAATGGTATATTCGTACAAATTAAAGATGACAATAATTATGTAACTGGTAATAATGTGTGGAAAAATATTTTTAATTTAAATATTTATAATTAGTTTCTGTTCAGTATAAAAATGATAAGACAAATTTATTGACAAAAAAAATTATTAAAGGTTAAATTTTTATTGTTTTATTAGATCCCGTTTTTGGATGAGGGGTCAATTCATAAATACTAAGTTTTTACTGGAAAATTCATACAAGTATCCTTGTCTTACTAACCAACCCCTTCATTTATTACAGCATTTGTACTTTAATAAGTTTTTACGTAAAATTGTAAATTTTCTGGAAATTTTATAATTTGAACGAAAAAAGAAAAGGGGGGGGGTTACTCTGAATATAAAAAAATAAATGTTGATTCTATTAATGAGAGATACAGAATAACAAATTCAAAGGAAAAAGTGGTGTTGAATACTAAACTGGTTAGACTGTGTTATACGTTTTTATTAACTAAATACTTAGAACTGCCATGTAAATGTTAAATGCTGTTTATTATTCAAAAGTATAAAATACATTTTTTAGTACATTTTTAAAACAAAGTACAATTTAGGATATTCATAAAAAAGTAATAAAATATATTGATGGCAGTTATTTTGGTCGCATTAAAGCCTAAGAATGCCTTATATATGATTAAATTCATAAAATAACTTATCTTCTAGTTGATCTTGAAAACAGACATAAAGTTATTTTCTGAATCACTGAATTAGAAAAATCCATGAATTTGTAAGAAGCTCATTGGTTTTGAATGAAGTCAAGTTAACAACTTTGCAATAGATATAAAATTTTTCAATATTTAAAAAAGTGCTTTATATTTCAAAGATTGATGAATACCTTTGAAAATGTTTTACAAAAGTTTTTGAGAAACTGATATGTGTATGGGTTAAATAAAGTAAAGTTTCCAATAAAGTTTTTCAGAGAAACTATTACTGTTATAAGGTTATTCTAATAACGAAAACTTTTTGCCTTGCTATCCCTTCCGGAAAATATTCTGTCATAAAATTTAAAAAAACCAGAAAAATTACTTGTTACAAAATTTTTCAAGTCATTAAAAAAAGTAATGCCCTTATTCAGTTTAATCAAATTTTTGAGTTGGAAAAAAATACATGTAAAGATTTGAATTGACGTATATTTTTAAGCAATAGTAAAAAACAAAGAATAAACCAAACGAGGTAATCTATAGCGAACGAATGTTTAACTAATTGTATGCTCTTTAAAATGATACCAACATATTTTTTCGATCAAATACTTGACAGTAAAAAAAATTATCATTATTTCGTTGATTTCTATCGTCTATCAACAAAAAATGTTTCTTTGTCCTTAAAAGTTGTTGTTACCTATAAAACAGACTTATAATATCCAAGCACTATTTCAATTGTTAAAATCTAAGAAAATTCTGTCTAGTTATATTAATTTATGTAGCTTCATAAAAAATATATGTATATAAAAAATTTTAATGTTATATTAAGGAAGTTCAGTCATTTTTTCGGAGGGGCGGTGAGTGGGCATGCAGGGGCTCCAATATGACAACGTATTGAAGTAAGTTGTACTAACCATGTATTTAAACATCCACTCACTGCATCATGGTTAACTTAACTGCTCTCAACTCGTCAGTACTCAAAGGTTAAATCACTAGTTATGAAAAATTAACCGTACATACCTTAAAGCAGCTAGTTTTTGATGGTTCGTGTAAAAAACTTTTAAACATATTGTTTGCATGATAAAAATAAACCTTAAAAAAGTAACAGAAGACTCAGTTTTTGTCAACAAAAGTGTGTTATAAATTTTCTAAAAACAAACTTTTTTTTGTACAGCATTATAGTTTAAAGTCTAAAGAAAGCCTGGGCAAGTTTCAGTTCATGGTTTCAAGTTTCATAAATTCTTGAAGCAATTTTGTAAAGACGTCTAGCTCCGTGTCAAAAAACCAGCTGACAGCAGACGATGCTCGGTTCTCTCCCATACACTTATCATAGGACCTGCTCGTGATTTGGTTACCTTTGTACAGATATTTTTTCAAAATGCCTGATAAAGTACATATTTTTTGATACAAGGGTCTTCCTTAGGAGTTAAGCTATCCTTTCGAATTTTTTGCTTATAATAAATACATCTTTTGCTAAGAAGTTTGTGCAACAAA